GGTAAATCCAAAAGAACTTAGGACTGACATGTAGTTCACTTGGTTTAGATCGTCATCCTCAAAGCGAGTTAGAACTAGGAGCTCAGCTTGGTTATCACTCCATGGTTTCAAAATGGTCTCCTCAACATGGGAAAGCAATGATTTAAAGGCACACTTATCCTCTTGGGAAACGGCCAGGTTACCAGGAACAGTTGGATAATTTTTAGCTCTCTCTTTTGTCCTAGTGTTTTCACATCCAACCTCAGGATGAAAAACATCCTGAAGTTTCAAAAATAGGGATTTTAATTTTTCCTCCATTGTAGGCCAACCACAAGTTTCTGTGTACCCTGAAAGTATGAAAGTATTGGAAAGTAAAATAAACAAACTAACACTGATAAACTGTACAAAATTCTACTTATCTAATTTTGTTTTAAAAGTTATATCTGTGGTTTACTTTCAAGAGGCTTATTTTCCTGTGTTTTCTCAGGTGCTTAAATCAACTGACTAAATCTGCCAATAGTAATTGGCAGGGTTTATTTGATACCATTATTTAACCCTGATTGGCTTTAATCCCCCGGCTTAACAGCCTACGTGTAGCCGCACTCTCCCCCCGGCTTAAATTCTTCGCAACTATAAAGAAATGAGTTTTGTCTTCCAAAATTGTAACTTGATCTAACTGTTACAATTATATCGATACCTAGACGTGTTGATGTTGGTACTGCGTGTAAGATAAACAGAAATTGAAAAGGATTAAATAATGGATTGAACAACAAATTATGAAAAAATGTTATTTTCGTAGGTGTAATGGTTTTTTTCAAAAGGCAGCATACTTTCCCAAAGTATGGTATGGTATAGTGTAGCAAAGTGGGCGGTACCCCATTAAAATTTGTGGCAAAGCTAGGGTCAAATTCATGACAGCATGTGATGGTCTGATTATATTAGGTGTTGAAAAGGAAGGAAAGAAAACATTGCTCTGATTTGTATTGTTAAATTTTTCTTTATCAGGTTAAAAAAAATCTGCAATTTGCATGAAACATGCCCCCACAGTGTGTGACGCCAGGACCTGAATTGAACGGTCATTTACGCTGAAAACAAAAATAGTTTTACGTGACAAAATCAAGACCACTCTGCGTAAAATTTGATAAAATTTGCTGAATTCAATAAACTTTGATGTGAGTCCCATGCAAAGTGAAAGTGATTTAATTTTAACCATGCACTATAAACACAACTTGAACATAGTACACTTCATCATGCAGCATCCCAGGGAAAAGGAAAGAAGAACTCATATTTCCGTACTGTCATAATTTTTTAAATTATGCATTAAAACACGTTTAATGAATGGTAAATATAAGCATTTGACTCTATCCTTTGCATTTATCGCACACTCCAACCTTCACTGTTTTGGGACAATGGAAGCCTTGCAGTTTTCACTAATTAATGTGTCATATGTCCTACATGGAACAAACATTCTACCATGCAAGCAATATTAAAGAATCAGGTGTAAAAAATTTGGATTTTATCCTTTGCATTTATCACATACTCCAACCTTTGATCCAACCTTTACTGTTTTGAGACAACAGAAAACTCGCGGTATTCACTTGTGTGGTATGTCCCACATGTAACAAACTTTCCAGCATGCAATATTGAAGAATCAGGTATAAAAAAGTTTGATTTCAAGGCAAACATACGTGCATGTAAGTATTACTGTTAATTATTTTCCTAGCCTGAATTTCATCCGATTACTTCGAGTCGTTATTACTCCCTCAGTAACGTCTGAATCGACCGGCCGTTAATGCCGTCCAGTGACGTCACTACTCCTTGACCTTTGCTTTAGTTCATGCAAAAAGTAAAACACGATTTTCAAGTGGCAAACCGAGAAATATCGTTTGGAAATGTCTGCACACAGAATTGCTTTAATTTTTTCGATCGTACTTCATGTTGAACGTTCAAACTATGAACTGCTTGCAGTACATGCAACACTGAACAGGTTGTAGTTCTATAACCAAACTCGTTCGCAATCACGCAAAGAAATAAACACACACACGGAATACTTAGTTCAAAAACACAATGATTTACTTTAATTGAAAAGAAGCTATTTGGTCCTTAACGAAGAAAAAAACAAGGAAACAAGAAAGAAAAGCTAACAGAATCATTACACTTGACGGTGAAAATAGCAAGAAGGTCGAATTATAACATTGCATGATCTCAGAAAGCTTCGCATAAACAAAATCACCGGCCGCCGAAATCACAAAGCGGCGCTCTAAATAAAAAACCTACCGACTCTACGCAATAATTATTCATTGGCGGTTCAATTTAACATTTCAGTTTCGAAGACAAGGGCAATTTGGCTGTTTAAGATAAAGATTAAGCTTATCGAAATGTTTGAACTACACAAAAGAATGCCAGGGATGCGATCCGCTGAATATCAAGCGACAATCCCGCTAAAATGTTTCATTATTATACATAATTATGCCAATGTTTAGCCAATCAACCAATCAAAATCGCTACCCGGTTTTCGGGTAGTGAGTGACGTCACTGGACGGCATTAACGGCCGGTCACTTCAGACGCTACTGAGGGAGTAATAACGAATCGAAGTAATCGGATGAAGTTCAGGCTATTATTTTCCATGTTTTGTTTATTCCAAAAGAATTATCGCTTTGGTTGGGTAAGTCTTAAGTTTATCCAGTACTTTTTCATAACCCGGTCAAATTTGTTGGAAATAAAAACATAGCCCTGGTGATGGTAGTATAGTGACAGACGTGGACATAGTGGTACTGTAAAAACCTGCAAGTAAGAAACTAGTGGTTTAAGCACCGGCTGCTAGAAATTTGCCATTTTAATACCTGAGAATATATCTGTTTCGCCAAGCAAGATCAAACAGGTTCTCATTTGTGGGTTACAGTTGAAATTATTATGATAAACATTATGATGTAGCAAAAGAGTTTGACTTTGAGACTGCAAAATTTATCGTACCAAACTGTACATGTAATTACATAAAAGCTTGCAAATAATACTAGGGTAGTATGCAAATAATAACCCTCATTGATTTTGCTAATATAATTTCATCACTAAGTCTCATTTGTGGACAGAATAACTTTTTTTTTATTGTATTTCTACTG